GCACGATTTTGTATTGTATTTGAATTAGACAAAGTTATTTTGTCAAAAGGTAAAATGCTTGTTGGAAAATGTTTTATTTCTGATGGTATGTTTAAATTGAAAGTAATGGTTGTTAAGCCAAAGATGAATAAAATAAACTCTTCTGCTTACTTGCTTGAATCTTTCAACTTATGGCATGATAGATTAGGACATGTTAACTATGACACTTTACATAAACTAGTTAACTTGAAATGCATACCCGCGTTTCACATGATTCCAACCATAATTGCAAAACTTGTATTGAGACAAAATTAACAAGATCATCCTTTAAATCGATTGAAGAGAATACAAAACCACTTGATTTAATTTACAGCGATATATGTGATTTAAAACTTGTACAAACAAGAGGTGACAACAAGTACTTCATTACTTTTGTCAACATAGCACAAAATATTGTTATGTGTATCTGTTTAAAATCAAGGATGAGCTATAGAGAATTTTGTTCTATATAAGAATGAAGTTGAAAATCAACTTAATAAGAAAATTAAGGTATTGCAAAGTGGTCAAGGTGGTGAGTATGAAGCACCATTTGCTGAATTCTGTATACAACATGGAATCATACATGAAACCACTACACCTTATTCTCCACAAAAAAATAGTTTTGTTGAACAAAAAAATCGCACCTTAAAAAAATGATGAATGTAATGCTAGTAAATTCTGAGTTACCTCGGAACATGTGGGAGAAAGCTGTACAAATTACTTTTTAAATAAGATGCTACGAAAGAAAATTAAAAAAAAACCCTTTATGAGTTATAAAAAGGAAAAATCTTCCCATAAATACTTACGAAAATAGGGTGTCTTGCTAAAGTGGCTGTTCCAACACCAAAGAAGGTAAAGATAGACCTAAAAGCTGTAGATTATATCTTCATTAGCTATGCGTATAATAGCAGTGTTTATCAGTTTCTTGTACATGAATCTAAAATCCCATACATACACAGAAATATGATATTGGAATCAAGAAATGCTTCATTTTTCATACGAGTCCAAAGATGTAGTAAACTCCTCTAAACGAACATATGAGACTATGATTGAAAATAGTCAGGACCAAAAATTAGAAGAGAAGATTAAGGTTAGACGTAGTAAATGGGAAAGGACAAAAATCTTATGGTCCTGATTTTCTAACCTATATGTTAGAAAGTGAACATCAAAGTTATCAAAAAGTTGTGAATTCTTTAGAAGGACCTCAATAGAAAGATGCTATTAAAAATGAAATAGATTCCATACTGTAAAATCATACATGGCAGCTAGTAGATCTTCTTCCAGGAAGCAAACCACTAGGCTACAAATGAATTTTCAAAAGGAAAATGAAAGATATGGAACTATCGAAAAGTATAAGGCCAAATTAGTAATAAAATGTTACAAACAAATGGAAGGCCTTGATTACTTTGATACATATTCTCCATGGCGAGAATAACATCTATTAGGATGATACTTGAGTATGTCACTCTACAAAATCTTAAAGTACATCAAATGGATGTTAAGACTATCTATTTAAATGGAGATTTAAAAGAAGAAATTTATATGGAACAATCCAAAAGATTTCACCACCAGGACAAGAAAAGAAAGTCTGTAAATTGATAAAGTCGTTATACGGCTTAAAACAAGCATCCAAACAATGGCATGCAAAATTTGATAATGTCATGATACTTTATGGATTTAAAATCAATGAGTATGACAAATTTGTTTACGTCAAAGACATTGAAAATGGTTGTCATTTTATGTTTTTACGTTGATGACATGCTTATTATTGGTGGTGACAATAAGATGATTAAATCCACTAACAATATGTTAAATTCAAGATTTGACATGAAAAATATGAGTTTAACTGATGTTATACTTGAAATCAAAATTTCAAGAACATTAGATGGGCTTATTCTAAGTCAGTCATAATATGTGAACAAAATTCTAGAAAAGTTCAATAAGGATGATATTGGCTTAGCTAGAACACCGATCGATACAAGTCAATATTTATCTAAAACCAAAGGTCGAAGTGTTTCTCAAATAGAATACTCGAGAATTATTAAAAGTCTAATGTACTTGATGAATTGTACAAGACCAGACATAGCTTACATAGTCAGTAAACTGAGTAGATATACGAGTAATCCAAGAGCTGATCACTAGAAATAAATAGTAAGAGTACTAAGGTACTTAAAATATACTCGTAACTCTGGACTACACTATACCATATATCTAACGATCATTGAAAGATATAGTGATGCTAATTAGATATCTGATATAAAAGACTCAAAGTCCATCAGTGGACTTGTGTTCACATTGGGAGGTGCTGTCATATCCTGAAAATCCTCTAAGCAAATAGTTATATCTAGATCTAAAGTAGAATCTGAGTTTATAGCTCTAGATAAATGTGGTGAAGATGTCAAGTGGTTGCGCAACTTCTTAGACAATATTCCAAGATGGTCAAAACCCTTGCAACAATTTGCATATATTATGACAGTCAATCAGCAATTGAAAGGGTACAAAGTAACATGTACAATGGTAAGTTTAGACATATATATCATAGACACAATACCATAACACAACTACTCTCAACTGGAGTTATCACTATTGATTATGTGAGGTCAAAAGATAACATTGCGGATCCGCTAACCAATGGGTTAAATAGAGAGTTAGTTGGAAAATCATCGAAAGGAATGAGATTTAAGCCCTTGAACGGATAAGTTATTACTAAGAAAACTCAACTTAATTGACTGGAAATTCCAAAATTTAGGTTCAAAAGAACAACCTAATTATAAAGAGTTAATTACATGATTGTAGGGGATGTTACCTTATGTCCACTCCTATGATGCAACAGTGATTCCCATAAGGATGAAGGATAAGCAACATGCTTTTAATAATTCTTATGCGTTGAAAATCGAGCCAAGTAATGCGGGTTACTTGCAATAAGAAATCACTTATGTGAGAGAGAATTGTGGCCGCTTCTAAGAAAATTATGTGAGACTCAATTTTAAGGAACTCTCACAAAACCAGGAGTGTGTTCATGGTCAAAATGAACATAATAATGAGAACTAGGTTGTGTTAGGAAGAATCATGTGTAAAATATATCATCGTTTACACAAATGACAGAACAGTTCAAAGATAACGTGTCTACTGGTCAGTTATTAAAGTAAATATACTTTTACAATAGAAGGTTCAAAGGGTAATACCTATCAATCCTACACAGGTTTCAACCGTTGGATTTTATCACCAAGTCTTTTGCTTCACGGTCTTGTATCTCTCCCAATTTTCATTCATGTGAGGGATTGTTAGAAAAATAGGTTGAGTGACTAACTTTGGCATAAAATTTGAGTGGGACCTAGTTGGTTATTTTGGAAATTCAAGATTGATTTGTGTTCTCCTCCGTCAGAACATCGAAATCATATATTTACTTGCAAAAAAAGATGTCCGAGTGAATGAGAAATTGAAGCTCAAAGTATGCCAATTGAAAGGAGATTATGTATTAGAGAGAAACCAATTAAAGTTTGTCTCACATAGGAAAAGAATGAAGACAAATACCACTTTATGTAGGATTGCACTTTGGAAGGGTGTGATTATGTAGAGCATAGAGACTCTCTCTACGTGTGCGTGCATGAGGGCAAATTGGACCAAAATATGCTTCAGACCTTGAAAAAATAGCCCCTTAGGAAAACCTACGTTTTGCCAAATTTTCCTCTAAATAAATATTTAAATTCTAAAGCTTTCAAAACTCCAATATTCATTGTCATTATATATGAGTTAATGGCATTCATGAGGGTTAAGCCTATAGATGCAACCCGTTTTCTACTATTCCACACAAGAACAAGAAGAAAAAATATAGTTTCTGCATGATTTTTTTTTTTTTTTGTCTGCATACTACATAGTTATATAGTTTCTGGTCCTGTCTGAATTTTTTTGATGATACTATTCTGATACAAGTTTTGTTCAACGGAGTAATATTTAAGGTGCTCAAATTCTACCATTGCTCTATTGTATCCTGGGAGATAGACGTCTGAAGTAAACCTCAAGCACTTATGATGAGGGGCGAATCTATTTTAAGGAAACTATATTCACACAAGTCTCGATTCAAATTTTATTTTGATTACTTGTTTTTGGCTAATTAGATTTATCCATTCTGTTTTATTAGAATTTAATATGCTGTATGTTGGTTAAATTGATTAATTTGTTCAATTTATTTTAATTTAATCAGCTATATCTTGGATAGTATCTAAGTTCACTATATATACGGTATATGCAAATCCTGTATCTAAGTTCATTGTATATACCGTAAACTGCACATACGATAAATTGCATATACGGTATGCATCAATCCGACAAGTTGCATATACAGTATGCGTCAATCCGGTAAGTTGTAAATTTGATATATGTCCATCCAATATTTGTTAATCCGTTCGTCCACTAATATTTAGTCCAACATCTTTATCTTGCAGCACTCTATGCATATTCATTTCCATACATTCGGACAGGTTACGATCAAATGGGATAGCTTCATCATCATAGAGTGATTGAAATCTGGGTCATCATCTCTTCAATTGAAGTGGGAAGAACTCAGGTGTAATTTTGGGAAGATTGAATTTTGGGTTTTGCTAGGAAATTTTGGGAAGTAGAGTGCGATTTAGGTTTTTGTAGGGGAGGCGAGACCCATTTGGGGGAATCAATTTCGGTTCTATGTCTGCATCTTCTTCTTCTTCTTCCTCTCTCATTTTTTTTTTTAAAACCGTTTTCAAGAACACACTTTTGTCCACATTATTTGGCATCCATTAGTAGCAATAACGTGCCACATAAGAGATTATGTTTGCCACGTTTGGCGATTCTATCATTTTTTAAAGCAGTCGTTGAGAGACTGATTGATGGGATTACACATTAAAAAGTTCAATGATTAATGAGGAAACGCTTAAAAATCAATGACTCGCTGAAAACTTTTTATAAAGTTCAATGGTAATTCAGATTTTTAACACACTAAAGCATTGAAAAATGAAAAAACTTAATATATACAAAACATACTGATAAAGTAAAACAGAGTTCAATCAATAAAACGCATTTCTCCTCCTGCATCATTGTATGGCAAATCCCCTTCTTTAAATATCTATCTCATACATATTCATTTCAGACATGAAGAAGAGATACTAAGTTAATAACCAATATAAAACCGGTAGAGTTTGATTTTTGAATTATTAAATTTTCAGAACCATTCCACTTTTATTACCCCCAACCCACCTTATGCCTGAAGGTTGAAATATACAGTGTAAGATTCATCTCTAAGGCTAAGTAATGGAGCCAGAAGAAAGTTCCTGTCTGTCCCTTTTGCCACAAAACTGATAGGATGATACTCACTCAATCCTTCTCTCAAAGTAAAACTTGCTGCCTGTTTAAATCCAGAATCTGATGATTTGCAGCTGAGCTTAACGCTTGTACCGGATTGATAGTCAACACTGCTGTACACGAAGCAACCTTCGTGATCCTCGGATTCCAAGGAAACTGTTCCATTTGTCCCGTCCAGCCCAGAAATCAAGCGAAAAGTAGAAGAACCACCACCTTTCGACGAATCTGAAATCCCAAGATATTGTTCAACTCCTTGATCCACAATTAGCATGCCTGGAAGATCAAGTGGTTCTAGCATGACCAATTTACCAATAGCATCTGTTGGCCCTGAAAACTTTGTAGATTCTGTTGCATCTTTCAGAACTAGTCGAAAAGTTGCACTGACAGCAGAATCATTTCCTTCTTGAGGGAAATTCTCCATTTTTATTGATTGATTAGAGTTTGTGAGGACAATTACTGCATTCCCGGATTCTTGTGAAAGGGATATCAAATGAGAATTGTAATCAGTTGGAACTGGAGTAATCCAATCAGAAATAGACTTAGTTAAATCTGCTTTGATATCCCAGTCACCAGTTGAAAAACCGGCAAGAAGGTAGGGACCATAGAATATGGCCTGAACAGAAGCATATTCCGGCCGGTCATCTAGAATAATCAAAACAACACATCAGCATTCGTATTGAAGGGATTCTTTTGATTGCGTAATTAGCACTAGTTATTTATAACCCGTAGGGGGTGTTTTCGTTCAAAATTATCCAAGCCTTCCAGTGATTCTGTCTTAATTATATTGGGTTTGTAGTTTCTAACCACAAGATCTCTAGTTAGAGGTTTATTTGGTTCAGGCCAAGAGATATACCTTTGATAGTCTCAGTTCTAAGACTTATAGGCAGCTCCAAAGTAATTTTATCACCAGGGTTCCAATTTCTAGTCAGTGATAGGAAATTGCCTGCAACAAGAAATTGATCATTAAAAGTTTGCTTCAAAAAACTAAAAAATCTGGAAATCTCATCGTCTTTTTTATTTCCACACACACAACAACATTAAAATGATAAGGAGATGAATTTAGAGAAAAAGGAGATATTAAAGCAGCACGAGGAAGAAGATGATCAATTTTACCTGGAGCTGCTAAGTGAATGTCCTGACCATTTAATGATGCCTTTGCACCATTGGAATATGTCCATGGTGGTATCCTAAAATTCAAGGTAGATGCTGCATTTTCTATTTGCTGAAGAATGACAAAAGGACAACATTAACTCTTAAATTCCGAGGTCTAAGGGAACAACTTGGAAATAACATACCTCTTTTGAGGAAATTGTCACTGTCACTTGAAGGCGTTGATCCCATGATACAACACGCTCTACTTCCTGGTTCAGGGAAATGTGTCCCATTTTCCAATCAAGTGAGCTAGATACATATTGGATGATGTACAGAGCAGGAGTATTTCCCTCCTTTTCAAAGTATATCGAGTCTCCCAGTTTCGAAAATGATTCAATGCCTATAGCAATAAAGGTAGAAAGAAAATTCGATCCATCAAAAGTTTGTTCCTCCGAATATTATCTTAAAGAATATAAATTAAGAAACGACAAAACTAAAGTTGCAGGATTTTCAATCCATGCTATCAAGAAACACAGTATAACTAAGGAAATCAGTTAATCATGATAGACAGGGTATCATGGACCGAATTCAAAATGTCGATGAAGTTTCTGACATACGAGGATTCAGATATATCTTCTAAAATAATAAGAAGAAATTCATAATCCCTGCAAAAAAGGAAATGGATATTAGTTGAAAGTAAGGTCTGTTATACCCACCTGTTCCATAGCAGCACCAAAAAGAATCATACTTTGTTCCCCATCCATGGTAGCTTCGAGCCTTGGAAGCACCACGGCGCAGGGGGAGCATGTAGATCATTACTCCAGGTTCCCTTCCTCTTTGGATGCTCAGCACACCATTCATCAAAGCA